TGCTCAGATATTTGTTGCTACCATACAATCTTCATTATCTACATCCACCTCTCAGTATGTTTGAGATCTTTTCGTGCGTTTCAGAGAGAGAGACTATAGTGGAGGACGCCCTCCCCGCGCGCCCTCTAATCATTGTGGCCCGACCGGTTGGGGGCGGTCGGGTTATATATAAAACGCGCGTGCAAAAAAGAAAAACACAGTCTTGTGTGTGTTTGTGCGTGTTTGTTTGTGTGTTTGTTTGGGTGTGTGTGTGTGTGCGTGTGTGTGTGTGTGTGTGTGTGTCTGTCTCTCTTAAATTTTCAAAGACCAATACCCTCACACACACACACACACACACACACACACACACACACACACACACACACACACACACACACACACACACAAGTTCGAGCATACACACATGCACACACAACACGGGCACGGGCATATTGACAGTTCACTGGTCCAAACAGCCTGCGCCCTGCACCGCATTTTCGTGTGGGAACCCACCGCGGGCAATTCGGCGGACAAGCGACTCCCGTCCTTCGTAATTGCCTGCACGCAAAATCCATTGCGAGGAGACAACAAGTACAGCAGAGAAAGGTATGAAAAACACCGCATATTGCACCAAACATACAGGGACGAGGTGAGTTGGCACGCAGCCGGATGAACACACACACACACACATACACACACACACACACACACACACACCCACAATACGGACACATACACACGCACACATACACACACACACACATCGAAGCGCAACCGACACACAAGCTCACTTTCAACTAAACACCAAAAGCAGCATGTACAACGAGCAATCCTTCCACCAACCAACCACAACACCATCGACCACCACCCACGACTCTTTCAAACTCATCACCTGAGCTGTGGAGGACGCAGACGCGGAAAGGGGCCCACCACCTGTGAAACTCCCTGACCCAGTGATGGACGACTGTGGCCGGACACACCACCAGGATGGCGCCGTTTGAGGAGCGCCGCACGTGGCGACGGACTGGCAGCGCGCTGTACAGCCACGACGCATCTGGTGCATTGGGTTGGTCGTTTGATTGGTCGTGTGTGTGCACGTGTGTGTGTGTGTGTGCGTGTGTCATTGTGTGCGATTGTGTTGGAATCATCGCATGAAGAGGAAGTTGGTTGTGTGCAACGAAGGCGCAGCGTACAAGAGCAACACACTTCAACGACGACCACCACCGTCGTCATCACCAACACCACCACCACGACCACAGCCACCACCACCACCACCACCACCACCACGTTCATCATGATCACCACACCTGATGTTGTTGGTGTGCCGTACATGAGCCCGGCGAGGAATGCGATGACCTGGATGGTTTTACCAAGCCCCATCTCATCGCCCAGCACGCCGCCCACACCGCTCGTTTGCAGCGATGCCAACCACCGCACGCACTCGTGCTGGTACGGGTACAGCCTGGGTTGTGTGACGTGTGGTGTGATGTGGTGTGATGTGGTGTGATGGTGTGTGTTGTGGTGTGTGATGGTGTGCATGGAGCTTTGGAAGACAAAACACGTTGCTTCTCACACCTGTAAACGCGTTTACACGAGCAAAGATAGCGAAACACAAATACGGTGCAGCCAGCAACGTTGTCAGTGCCCACTTTGACCAGAGGAAGCCGGGAACGTAAATGGCGTTGAGGACTTTTGCCGGCGCAGCAGCAAAGTCACGTGCGCTGTACAGCTCATCTGATGGCAATGATGAATGATGAAGGGTGAATGTGGATGTGGATGGGGGTGTTCAAAGTCGTGCTGTTGCGTTGGTGTTCACAAATGTCCGTGCTGATGTGATGTGATAAACCCCCCCCCCACAACCACGCATGTTCATGCACATTGGGTTTTGCACTCACCGAACAATGGCTCGTCCTTATCGCTGCTGTTCAGTTGTTCTCCTCCTCCTCCGCCATCACTACCACCATCACCACTGGTGCGTTTGGTTTCGTCAATAAACGCCGCCAGCCTGTCCTGCCAGGCCGAAATGCGTTCACGATAGGCGCCGTCATCGCCGTCATCTTGAACGCGCGTGTGCTGCTGCGCCCTCAGTCTGTGGTGGCGGCGGCGGCGGCGGTGGTGGTGTGTAAGGGACGAGCGACATAGTGTTGACAAGCATGGAATCGAAGCACAAAGTACACACACACACACACACACACAAACACACACACACACACAGAGCAAACATTACCGTTTGAATGCGGCGTACGAGGAGGAATGCTTCAACTCCAACACATCATCATCATCGTCCTCATTATCATCATCATCATCATCATCATCATCGGATGGGATGACAACCATCGACCCCTCATCATCATCGTCCTCGTAATCCTCCTCATCATCTTCGTCAGTTCTGTGACCATCTCTTCTCCTCCCAGTTCGCTTCACATCGCCATCAGGCGACCATTCATCATCGTCATCATCATCATCACCACCAACACCACCACCATCATCATCGTCACCGTCAACAACAATGACATCCGCATCACCACCACCATCATCGCGGCCACCACCGCCACTGCCTCCACCACCAACACTCTGTGTGTCCTCGATCATGGTTCGCACTTTACTCGCTGCCTTCTTTGCGGCTGCCCTCATTGACACTCCGCCCGTCCACCACCCGCCCGCCGGTTGTTGTTGTTGTTGTTGCTGTTGTTGTTGTTGTTGTTGTTGTTGTTGTTGTTGTTGTTGTTGTTGTTGTTGTTGTTGTTGTTGTTGTTGTTGTTGTTGTTCATGGAGGGATGGCACACCAGCCAGCGCTGATGACGATGTGATTGCGGTTGCCGTTGGTGCTGTAGTAGCAGCTCTTGTTCTTGTTGTTGTTGCTCCCTTCTGTTTCCCCGCCGTGCGCTTCCGCCCCTTGGCACCAGACGTCACCTTCGCCTTCTTCCCGCCACCACCACCACCACCACCACCACCACCACCACCACTGCTTGTCCCCCGTGCTGCCGCTGCTGCTGCTGTTGAACTGTCTGCTCGCCGCTTTCCGCGCCTCCTCCCTAATGATGACGATGATGATGATGATGATGATGATGACGATGAGGATGGTATGGTTGTTGCTTTGACTTTGGTGGAAGTGGCTCCTGCTGCTACTGCACCTCCGCGTCCGCCGCGTGTCTGCGTGGCGTTGGGGCGAGCAGCATATGCGTCCTCGTGTGTTGGCGGTGTTGTGCCCGCACCGACGTGCTTCCCGCGCTTCTTCAGCTTCAAGTACCCAACGCGGCTCTGCTTTGGACACGCGCATGAGAGTGTGTATGTGAGTGAGTGAGTGAGTGAGTGAGTGAGTGAGTGAGTGAGTGTGTGTGTGAGTGAGTATGTGAGTGAGTGAGTGAGAGTGTGTGAGGGAGTGTGTGTGTGAGGGAGTGAGTGAGTGAAAGCACAAACCCCCACCAGCTCGACTTCACATCACACGAGCAACCCAAACAGCAAGCCTCTCCCGTTCCCCCTCATTCCCTTAACGCATGCACACCTTGCTGATGCGCGCTGCTGTGAGCGATGGCGTGGACCAGTTTGTTGTGCGCAGTCCGTGCCGAAGCGATGATGATGATGATGATGATGACGGTGACGATGATGACGATGATACTGCTGCTGTTTTTGCTGTTGTTGCTGCTGCTGCTGCTGTTGATCGAGACAGGGCATCTCTGCCTTGCTGCTTCAACCCCTGCTCGCGATCACCACCACCACCACCACTGCCGTCATCGGGTGTTGACGTGCGTCTGCGGCCGTGCATGTATGTCGGGCGCACAATCGCTTTTCTCGACGCCGCTGTCAGCGCTGCAATGGAGTCGTTTTTCTCCTGGACATCCGCAACCAGTGCATCCCGCTTCGCTTGCAGTTTCTGCACGCACGTCATATTTGGTCGAGGTGGCGGTGGCGTGTTGTATATATGTGTGTGTGTGTGTGTGTGTGTGTGTGTGTGTGTGTGTGTGTGTGTGTGTGTGGTGTGGAAAGGGGGGGGGGTAGGGGAAGCGAGTGAGACGCGTGTATGGAGTCCTTACTGCATTCACACACACACACACACACACACACACACACACACACACACACATATCAGCTGGACGCCAGACCTTGAGCATGGACTGGTGCATGGCAATATCGGTGCGGATGGAGGCGACCCGCGAGGTGGTGTCTGGCGCCTGGCTGCTGATGGCCTTGGACATGTCCGTGTGCAGGCGGCTGAGCGTGCCTTGCACCTGGTCCAGCTGGAACTTGATGGCATTCAAGCTGAGAGCACACGGAAGAAGTAACCAAGTATGACACCGTGAGCCGTTTACGTCTTCTGACGGCGCCCAAAGACAAACACAAGCGCGCGCACACACGAGCGCACGAATACAAACGCACATACACATACAGACGCACCTCTTTTGTGTCTTCTTGGCTTGTTTTGTGAGGTCCATGATCTTGGCGCGTGCATCGAGTTGCTGGTCAACTTGCTGTTCCACGCTGGACTGGCTCACCATCGTCACGCCAAGGCCTGAAGAACAAACGGAGATGAAGAGCACAAGCTTGAGGGTGCTATCACAAACTGCAGCAGTGCTGTTGTGCACGCAGAGATGGCTCGCTTACAAACAACGCAACGCAACGTACCTTGTAGCCGTTCCTCGTCCCCATCGCCGCTGTTTCCCGCCTCCGTCTTGGCAGGGTCGCCATTGTGACTATCCTTGGACGCCATGGCAAGCGGCGACAACTGCTACGCTCTTCCAAGCGGCGACTGCTACTCTCTTCCAAGCGGCGACAACTGCTGTCTCTTCCAAGCGACTGCTACTCTCCTCACACACACACACACGCACACACGCACACGCACACACGCACACACACACCAAGCACGCAACCACGTTGACAGAGCACGCTGCGCTGCAACAAACTCGCCTTGTGTGTGGTGTGTCAGCCGTGGGTGATTGCAGATAATTAGCATAAATGTAAGTAATTTTCTACAACTGCCATCAAGCAGGCGACGATAATGACGGGAGGAACAGCAGGAACAC